AGGAAAAGATTAATTTATATGATTGATTGATCGTTTGTGATCTGCTCCTTTTTAAAGAAATTCTAAAATCAGAAGAGGCTCGCTCACAGTTCAGTCTATTGATTGATCTCACACAATTTGGTAAAGTATTTATTTTTATTTTTTAATTTCTAATGCACTAATAACAATACATATATATATAATTGTTTGCCTTCATAAGGCATAAAGTCGACAGTCACAAACCGTTGATATATTATGTTAAAATTGCAGGAATGTGGTCCCAATTAAACGAAATGTGCAAGTCGCTCTTTAAACAGAAGATTTCTAAATACACCGATGTTGCAATTGAGGAGATCGTCTATGTAAGTTTCACTATAATAAAATACAGCCAAAACAAAGTCAGCTTGGACTTTCAGTTGTGAGACATGACAAAACAAACGCTGCCAGTGATGGATTTCGTGAATAAAAAAAACAAAATAAACGCAATCAAAGGCGTTGGACATAAATAGAACACGTGACATCGTCTCACTAAGCCTCATTCGCTCACGCAATTATGATACTCACGTTTAAATCATGTTTGTATTGACACAATGTGAAAGCAACAGTCTACCAGTGAATGTATGTTTATCAAACACCAAACTAAACATTCAATGTTATATACATGAAGCGGACTGCGGCGGTTATGTGACTAAGACGAAGGACATGCGAAAGTACTAGTATGTTCGTCTACTACACGTTCAAGCACCCAACTTTTCTATAAAAAAAACGTTATTTGTATCAGCAATAATTTCTAGTACTGCCTGAATTGCATATTATTAGTTGTCATTATATATTTCCCTGTACAGGATTTTTTTAACGATGTGTCAAATTTCTGAAAGAATATTGGAATAAGTTGGGGTAAATATGAATTGAATATCCATGATTACGGTGAAGTGGCGAGTCATGAGCAGAGTTTGCTGCGTTAATGTTAAAAAGAGATCCGAGTCGGGGAACCTTTGACGATGTTTGCATGAGAAAGTTCGTTTTTTTCGTATCTTTAGATTTCGACAACTCCAGGACCAATATGCGCATGTCAATATACCGTGTTATAAACACTATACTAGGGTAGCTGCATCCCGATTAATCCACAAATATGATTCATTAAGGGTCAATTTTCTGCAGTCTTTCAAGATAGCCTTGAGTGTAGATTAAATTAGCCTCCGAAAATGTTCATTTTCCAGGAAGTCGACATTTTACATTATTATTCTTCATGCCCATGACACCAATCAGATTTGCGCATTGCAGGTAGACATATTCGTGTGTCTACCTACATCCGGGTACAATCTGATTAAAATCTGATGTAGTGTACGGGCATTAATTATTTTGGCTATAAACTTATTTTAATTTTATTTTTATTACTTTTGTTATTAATGCCCTTTTTAGTCCCCGTTCGGACACAGTCCGAAACGCAGTCCAAAACGCAGTCCACAGTCCGGACGCAGTCCGAAAACGGGGACTTATGTTTTGCCCTGTGTGCGTCCGTGCGTCCGTCCGTGCGTCCGTCCGTCCGTGCGTCCGTCCGTCCGTCCGTGCGTCCGTCCGTCCGTGATCACCTGTATCTCGAACAGGCATGGACCGATTAAGTTCAAACTTCACTCATACATCACACATTATATGGGACATATGCACATGCATTTTTTTCATGATCCGATTAACGATAGCCGAATAGCGGCCATTTTAAGGCCGAAAATGCATCAAAATCGCACATTTTCACCATTCCGGACCCGTATCTCAGTTATGCATGGATGGATTTTGTTCAAATTTGGTACATACATTAAACATAATAGGACCTTGATGCACGTCTTTTTTTTCGGATCAAGTTCGAAATGGCCGACTGGCGGCCATTTTGTTAAAGAATTCAGTTCTGGATCCGTATCCAAGACATGTCTGGATTGATCAAGTTCAAACTTCACACACACATGGTACATCATGTCACAAATAGATATGTGCATTTGTTTCATGATCTGCTTAACAATAGCGGAATGATGGCCATTTTAAGGCCGAAAATGCATCAAAATCACGTATTTTCACAATTCCAGAACCGGATCTCAGTCATGCATGGATGGATTTTGTTCAGATTTAGCACAATGTGTTGTACATATGCAGGTGCATTTCGGTCATGATCTGCTTTGAATGTATATGTCACTCAAATATGAACGGAACGGGGACGTGTCATTGACAATGACTTGTTAAAAACATTGATTAATTTTATATTCCCTTTTTTCCTAATCAACAACTCTTTGTAAGGCAGCAAGCAGACTCCCTCAGTTTGCTGCCCCTAACTAGACCCACTAACTACAAGGAATGTCCATTTTTTGCATTGTAAAATTTGTTTTGTATTTTACGTTCATTAGACCCTAATTACTTAACTGTTACATTACTCAAACATGTGAAAGACTTTTGTAGACAAAACAATCACACCTTTGTTATTTGACACATTTGAATAAATACATGATCTGTACATAAATATTTTTACTGCCATTCTTGCAAAGCGTGATGAACCAAGTCACAGTATCTAGCATTGATGAATCTGACCTGAAATACTTCAACATCTTAACACGTAAATCTGAGTATCCCATATTATTTCTTTGTAGGAAGCTGGTGCAATATTTAGTAACAGTATGACTGCTGAGCCATCAATGTTTGGTGATGGTGATGCTGGAAGTATGGGTCATATGGGTGTCTGGGAAAATGTCTCGCTGAAAATGCATTCAGTTGAACAGATTGATCCTAGGCTGCATCATCATCACCATCATCCTCTTCACAACCACCATCAGCATCAGCAGCAACACCCCCAACAGCAGCAGCAGCAGCAACAACTTCAGCAGCAGCAACAACAACAACAGGTATTTGTTATCTTTTGTTGTATTTTGTTATTTGATATTTCAAGTAATTTCATCCAAGAAGAGGATAAACACTAATGAAACAAATGAATATTAATCTTTTTAGTCCCCGTTCGGACGTAGTCGGAAAACGGGGACTTGTGGTTTGCCCTGTGTGCGTTCGTGATCACCTGTATCTCGAACATGCATGGACCGATTAAGTTCAAACTTCACTCATACATCACACATTATATGGGACATATGCACATTCATTTTTTTCATGATCAGATTAACGATAGCTGAATAGCGGCCATTTTAAGGCCGAAAATGCATCAAAATCGCACATTTTCACCATTCCGGACCCGGATCTCAGTTATGCATGGATGGATTTTGTTCAAATTTGGTACATACATTAAACATAATAGGACCTTGATGCACGTCATTTTTTTTTTTGGATCGGGTTTGAAATGGCTGACTGGTGGCCATTTTGTTTTAAAGAATTTAGTTCTGGATCCGTATCTGAAACATGCCTGGATTGATCGAGTTCAAACTTCACACACACAAGGTACATCATGTCACAAATATGTTTGTGCATTTGTTTCATGATCTGCTTTAACAATAGCTGAATGATGGCCATTTTAAGGCCAAAAATGCATCAAAATCACATATTTTCACAATTCCGGAACCGGATCTCAGTCATGCATGGATGGATTTTGTTCAGATTTAGTACAAAGTGTTGTTACATATGCAGGTGCATTTCGGATCAGACCACTGAAGGTCTGAGATTTCGGTCATGATCTGCTTTGAATGTACATGTCACTCAAATATGAACGGAACGGGGACGTGTCATTGACAATGACTTGTCATATAATAGATTCCTATTTTGATATAAATAAGATAAATATTGCTGAATCATTTACATCCTAGATTTTAAAGTCATGGGTATTCAAGCTATTAAAAAAGATTAGGAAAAGTTATCTCCTTTTTTAGCTCCGCTGTCGACTTCGTCAAGCGTAGCTTTATCATATGAGTAACAACTTTTTACTTTTTCGACTTCTTCTTGAAAACTACAGGCCTGATTGCTTTGATAGTTGGTGTATATGTACCTCAGGTAGACCTCACTTAGATTTGTTTGTTTCATGATTATATCTTTAATTCTCTAAGTTTAGTATATTTTTGTCACTGTGAATTTTGTGTTCTTTCTTGGTTTACAAACCAGCATTTAAAACAACCGTAGAGTTTTACAATCTGCATAGACAAGTGTACGTGTTTAACAATAAGTTACATGACCAAAACTCGTCTGATTATTCTAACTATTTTGCATACATTTATATTACAGGTGTGGGGTGGTGTGTGGAACCAGCACACATTATAACAGACTGGTTAACGACAAGAGTGTGATATGTGCTTGGCCTGTCAGGGGTTTTCATTTAAAAGTGGTTGGGTTGTTTTGGGTTTTACCAAATTAGGTTTATATGGTGATGCAACTCGTAGATGTTAGACTATGGATAAAATGATGATGCTACAAAGTTTGTTTGAAAGAAATCAAATCTATTGTGATTTTCAGATGTTTGTTGCTGGCTTGTATTTTGTGACACAAAAAAGGATTGTGTCAATAAAGATGTTAGTTATAATGGATTTGATGTCTGTCTGTGTTTGCTTTTGGAAGAGTGAATGATTGGGCTACAGCTGTATGTATTAACACATGTATGTATTGATGTAATCTGCCTAGTTTACTGTAAAACACATCATTTTAGCTAACCTGTAATTTCGCTAATTCAAGATGTCGCTAATTTAAATTAAAATATATTCTCGCAATGAGATTGTTGTCATTTTAGCTAAATTACGATTTTGTTAATTCATGTATTAAGTCAAATTCGCTAAAATGCCATGTAGCTATTTCAATATGTTTTACAGTATCACTTCACAACATATAGAAAATTTGACATCACGTTGATTAGAATTTTATTGGGGGTGTTGGAAATATTTATGTGAAGTTACCTCAAGATTGTCCCAACATTGCCTTGTAAAATTTACTGTGCACTAAAGAATTTTACAATTGGATGATTTAACAGCAAGTTAATAGTGTAAAATTTATATAAGAAGCCACTGCTTATATTACAGTGGTTATGAAACTTATTCGGACAGTCAGTAAGAGCTTCGACAGTGCTGTTCAATCAACACGCACAGATTTTCAAAATATTTGATATTGTACAATGTGTAGATACTCAATAAATAAAGGATAGTTATTGAATAGGTACACGAGTTAATCCTACACAGCACGGTACCAAGCCTAGAACAAATCAAAGGTGTTTGCTAACTGAATGAAACAACGGGGATGCAGCTTGTATTAGATATAAGAAATCGTGACTTCGGTTCGGTTGTTTAAACAATGTGTGTGTGGCTTTTACCAAATATATAGTATATGTACAAACAAATGCATCCATGAACATTATTCTGATCTCATTAAACTAAATATCAATATACCTTGGTCTACCAAGATCACGTTCATACTATTGATGGGGCAGATAAGCTGTGTGGTGGTCTATTTAGGGTTTTTGACTATGTGCGAAGCACAAAATGTGTGTATGTGTGTCCGTCTGTCTGTTCCACTGATATCTCAAGAACCATACATCAATTTTTGATGAAACTTGGTGCACAGATTTGATTAGGTTTTGGTAAAATTTCATGCATATTAATTACCTAATTTGCATGATAATCTAATTTTTAGCTGTTTCATGACTGTTCCATTGATATCTAAAGAACCACTTACTGGGTTTTGATGAAACTTGATACATGGATGCTCTGAACTAATGCTTGGTTTTGATTAGTTTTTGGTAAAAATTACTAATTTGCATAATGATTAGTCAATTTTTGGTTTTTCCACTGATATCTCAAGTACTAATCATCACATTTCAATGAAACTTGGTACATAGATGTCAAGTTCTGCAAAAATTATTTGTTAGCGTTACAAGCACAGAACATGAGGTGCACAAAAAATAAATATTTTTTTCAGAATTGCACAAACTACTTCAAAAACATTTTTGTCAAAATACAATCAAGTGTATGGCACTAATTTGAAATAATATATCGAAACTGCTACACTTGTATGCTAGTTTCAGAGCCCTTTTTATTTTACCACAGTTATAATAGTGTTTTTGACAAGTTATTTTCATGTCTCGGAATTACACTTAAAATGGGTATGACACATCAATGTTGGGCATATCACTATGTATACTTCCGCTTCAGTGATCTATGAAAAAATGTAAGGTAACTGACAAAATGGCTCTAGTAATAAAAACAGCAGCAGAATTTACAAAGGTTTAAAAAGAGGTTACTCAATATACACTTGTATTAGTTGTTTATGTATACAAACAAATTCAAATATTTGACTGAGGTTAATTAAAATTGAAACATGGCAGGAATTCATGGTCAATACTCTAACTTGCTGAGATATTCATTCACACTAATAATACAGTTCAGGTAGGAAAAATTAAGAAGCATTTGGTTTTGACGTGGTTTCAATTATATTTCACCAGTAATATTTAATATAGTGGTGAATATTCTATTTACGCTATAAATAAGCTGGACACGAAGGTAAAACTCAAATCTGTTGAAGATCAGCATGAAGGAACTATACACAAAATAAGACTTTTAAAGGTCTGCTCATTCAAAAATTAATATTTTGTTTGTTGAAATCTGTTCAACAAAGGCTGCATGAAAATAAAATCAACGGCCATTAACTCTACACAGGAATATTTAAAGTTTTTTAGAAATAACAAAATTAATAGTTGACATTGCAATTTGATCAGATGAGGCAAAACAGTGAAATATATATGGGAAGTTCAAACCGTTAGAACGATACTGTTCCACAAATCGCCTGCAAAAAAACATTACCAATGCAATGTGTTCCTATTATCATGATTCAGTATATAAGAAATTTTAGGTTCATACAAAGCATACACAAAAACGTTTGAGTTTTTAAAATTTATAAAATAAGGGTATGTAACATGCAATGAAGATCCAATTCTGTTCAGTGCAGCAGTGGCATCACAGAATGCATGGGTAGTATTATGTAAACGGAAGCAGTGAGCGACGATGTTGACATGGATGCTATAAGAAATGGCCCATTATTAAATGAAAACTAACCATTTCTTTCACACTCATTTACATTTGTATTTCTGGAATACATGTTAGTGTCATTTTGTGATCATCTTGTAATTTGTGTGACTTCACATGCCCTTATATTATAAATCCTTGTTAGGCCAGACTATTTATTCCTTGTTTCTTGAGTTTTTATAAGGCAATTTTTTTGAGGGGGGGGGGAATTTTTTTTTTTTTTCAATAGATATGTGTGATTCTCAAAGTATTGTAAGTGAGATCATTGATCGGAGAGAAGAAATGACAGAAATAAAATTTTATTCTATGTGTAACTTTGTTTCATCTGCGCGAGACTTTGATCATGACAATCAAAATGGGAGTCAAAAATAATATTTTTTTAGCAATTTTTTGCACTTGCAAGTTGGCGGGCACGAGAAATTACGCTGAAATAAAATTTGATTTTTATTTCATTTTCGGCTCCTGTTCATTGGGCGGGTTCGCGAAACAAGCGATAATAAAAGTCTGGCCTTATGAGGAAAAAAACATAGATCACACTGATAGTTATATGAAAAATGTAACTAGTTCAGTTTTTATCATTAAATTCTATATCATTCCACTTCATAGAATGAATACCAACTAGCTGAGCTAAAAAAAAAAAAATAAAGTTTGTATGTAAAATAGTAATAACCAAAAAGATAAAGTAAGTAAGTTGTCAATGTTAGATAAAGAGTAGCATTTTGTGTACTTTACATTGTATTGTACTAAACGTGTCACGGTGACGATTCAAAGCTCTACACATATTGATTGTAGAACAAGTATCTGATATGCACCAACATGACAGGTACATTCTTAACTATCTTGTATAACAAAATATGGCATATACCAGACAGACTACATTAACCTCAGGCAAGAAGTAATGTACAAGACATGGAATGTCCTGTTGTATTGAAATCGAGGTATCCCTGTAAAACGCACAGAATTGTTTTATTACAATCAATGTTTTCCATGTTTAGATTTACCAGGACGTTCATGTATAAGCAAAAGATACTCATTTTTCATTTGAAAAAAATTGTTGTTTTTGACACATTCCAGTGATTAAAGTGTTATTCCATGGATTTATAAACACAATTGATATCTTACATAAATTACATCGACGTCTTTCAACAAAGAAAACGCCACAATAGGATCTATTTCATTCCTTCCACTTGATCAGCAATGTAGTTTAATCTACACCTTCTGAGTGCATCAATGAGAGCTTTCTTGGTTGCTTGGTTACCACAATTAATTTTCCATTTCTTCAAAGCTTGAAGGGACTGCTCCTTTAAGTCACGCATATGATCATGCGCAATTGCATCTATATCAGTCTCCTGAAGATAAAGTCTACGTGCCAATTGTCGCCAATCACGTCCAAGATTATCATGCAGAAAATAAAATATTTCATCCAAATCTGAGGACAAAAAAAAATAGTGTAAACAGCTAAAGAATAGTACAAAGAATTACAAAGTACCAAGATGCAATGGGGCATCACGATAATTTTTCTATTTTTTTCTTGGTACAACCATGTACATACAGTGTTGGGCTTCCTCCAACCAATTGTTTGTCATCAATTATGTCACTCTTGCCAGGAAAAGCCAACACTAATTTTAATAAATTATTGTGACAAAACAGTCAGCATTTAAAAACATGTCAACAGAAAGGTAAATTAAATATTTTTTAAAGTGTATGTTGAAGTAGCATATTTCAATAACTATATGAATATGAAAAAAATGAGATATTTTCATTGTCCAACAAGTTGGTGATTAAGTAGTGTGATTGTACATCCATGAACACCCAAGTTGGTGATTAAGTAGTGTGATTGTACACCCATGAACACCCAAGTTGATTGTATTTCACAGAACACATAGCATTACATACCTTCACCAGTTTCCTGGGTTATAGGACCTGTAAAGAAAAAGATCGTATGTCATTGTGGGATGCAAACACTATTAGAAAAGGTTGCCTAGAAACTTCAACTTGCACATCAGAGAACAGAAACAAAACACAGACCGATAAATGTACCGGTAATTTTCTTTCAAAGCCCAAATCTTCTGGAATCGATCAAGATAATTATCTTAATGAGGTTTTACCTGATACTATTTGTTCATAGAGCTAGTTGACATGAGGCCAGTATTATCAACAAACTGGAGGTGAATATCAACAAACGTTTTGAATAATTGATATCAGGTGATATATGTTTAATGTATGATTAAGTTTGAGTGCCAAAAAGAGAGTAAAGAATTCAACAACTTCCTGGGCGACATCAGTATTGTTAGATTGGTGTCATCAACAGAGATGCATTTCTATATTTATAAGTTATAAGTGGTTTTATTGAGAATTTCATCAATCACTTGCAAGTTCTGTTATTGTTAGCAGAGTTGAATTTATTTGTATAGTAACATTTTTTTGGCCATTTTAAGCAGTTCACATAGAAGATTCCGATATTGTCTATAATTAGTGTGTATCTGTCCATTATGTAAATTTTTTTTTTAATTTTTGTAAAAAGTTTATATTTAATTTTGGTCGATTTTAGGAAAGTCTTTGATAGCCACAATTCATTAACATGTTTGTGTGGAAAATATTATAGAATGTATTATTCACTTTGTTAGCTGCCAAGAGACTTTGCCTAAATCGCTAAAAAATCATAAATGTCAGATGTAGATTTTAGTTTGAATATGTGACGCAAGTTTTTTATGGTGCCTAAGATTGGATAGTGATCAGTAATGCTGATTTCAATATCCCCACACTCAAGAAAAGAGTCAGAGATATTAGATAACAGGTGATCAATGATTAGTATTAGATGTGTCTGTTACTCTGGTGGAGCTGTTAACACTTATGACCAACCTTCTGTTATTAATGGTGGTTTCCACAAAAGTCGATTCACAGTGCATAATTTTGATTGTATCCATGATTTCGAAGGACATAGAGCTGTATATATATAATGCAACACCTCTGCCCTGTGAGTATTGCCAATCGCAAATGCTACATACCTTCTCAAAGTTTTTGTCAAAAATCATTTTCAGGGTGTTTAATGACATATTCATGTGGCATGACACTTGTGGTCATGACTGCTTGAATATGGCAGAATATCTCTTCAAAGTTGAATTTATCTACTATGCTGGTCATTAAACTTTACATCAGATGTACTATACTGTCTATGATTAAACTGACAATGTAGAAATGAATCAATACACAAACGGTAGCAAAGTTTGAATAATTTGGGAAAGAGTTCCTTTTGTACCCCTCATCCCTAACCCCAACCCTACCCTCCAGCATTCCCCATTTAATTGTACATGCCCCTCCTAAGGACATCTATAGTTATCTATAGAGGGGGCATATACTAGAGTACAAATGAATTGGGTAACTTAGAGTGAGTGTTAGGCTTAGGGATGGGAGTTACAAAAGGAACTCTTGCCTAAATTTGTATCTCGAGCAAGTTAAAGGGCGGTGGTTGTCGCGTCGCGCATATGTGGCATTTGTGTTAACAAACACTGATTTTCCCACAGTTTGATGCGCTCTTCTAATGAAAATCACAATTTTTGATCTGGGCACAACGTGTACTAATTACCGCCTGTGATTCCTTTGATCCCTTCCAATCACCAAAGAAATTACCTAGTTAAAGCTTGGTAGCGTCTCAGTTTGTACTCATTGGTCTGCACAACAGTCGCCATCTTTGTTCATATGAGACTTGTATCCTGCACAAGCGGGGCATGATGACCACCGCCACAAAATAAAACAAGTGCTGAAACACCATCTACTACTGACAGTAAGTAGTCATCCCAACTACAGTAGGCAGTTGTTCCTGCATGGGTTGAAATTTTACTTCAGAAAGAGTTCCCTACGCCCACACCCCTAACCTAATACATAACACTCATATACAATTAAAATGGGGGGGGGTAAAGTTATGGGTGAGAGGGTCCTAAGGAACTCTTACCAATCTGGTTTGTTTCATTTTCTATGGGGTTCCCCATGTTTTAAAAACTGTGGAGGGTTTAGGCTGGAGGATTTTGTAAAAACAAATTTGTCGTCGAGCATACGTGAATAAAATATTTGCAAAAACAAATTCCTCTAACTGTACCCCTCTCCGCCCTAAAAAGTGTTGACAGTCGAAAATAAATAAAATATGCAATAATTCAAAGCAGATTTTACCTTTCTTAATACAGTGACTAGAATTGTTGGAAGCATTGGTTTCTTTGGGTGTATTCCAAGTTGTTTCGTACTCTTCCAAAATTCGTATTAAATCGGGGCGGCTGATTTCTTTGACGAAGTCCTTGAGGTCTTTAGTATTGTCGACACTAAGGTAGTCCTGATATTCCAGCTCTTCAAACAGTTGTATCGCGGATTTGATTTCTTCCCTTCGACTCCTCGGAATGAACGGGCACATATATTTGATATTTTCCACTTCAGGCTCTTTCAGTTTCATTGCCACTCTCATTAGCGTTTTACGGAATGCTGGCTCTCTTGGGTCGACTCTTTGGGCGTCCGTATCCAAGTCCGCTCGAGGTCGGTTTGTGGACATAGTTTGGTTGTTGAAATATAACCACTGTATGTAAAAACAAAATCAGCCACAAAGTTCACTTCATCGAGGTGACGTAATATATCTCACCGAACTATTTCCACATTGGTATAAACACGTAGAATTTAACAGTGATGTAGTGAACAAAAACAAAATTCCCCAATTCCCGAAATACACATACATAAGTACAATGTTCAGTATTCTCAGAGGGAAATCCCCTTTTTTGAATTCGTAAACAATTTTAAAAGCACCAATGTTCAAAACAAATTTCATGGATTTTTTGCGTCGGGATTGTTGGAAAAAAAAACAGTGAATAGATGAAAATGATTATCTACCAACCGTTTTTCGTGATGTTGGTAATTTTGTTAAAATGTAATTTTTTGAAAGTGTATATAAATACAAGATGTCTGTTGAACAACTGACCTAAAAATGTCTGAATTGTTTACGTCCATAAAATTGTCCTCAACTTCGTATTGTGATATTCAACAATGAATGAATATTCGGCCTGATTTCCGGGTTTCCATTCCCTACCGGCATTCTTTCAATGCCGAATCACTGGTTCATTCCTGTCACCCAGTTGTCACTGTTATTTGAAGGACCGCATAACCGTGTCATGGTATAGTGACGCCCGTATTCAAAATCTGTATCCGACAAATTTACCAGAATATATCCAAAATCACCATATCTCAGTAAGTCGCGTCTGTGACGTGGTTGATAAGGGCGGGGAGGGAAGGGTTTTATTCTCTCTCCCAGAGTTCCTTGAGAATAGAGCACCAAAACAATCTTCGTCGCCACATTCGCTGGCTCCCGGCGTTCCTTGCGAAAGGCAAGTAGGACAAGTAACTAATTTCTTTCCCATAGGTATTTGCATTTTACGCAATAGTCCCTCTACATCGTGGGTCAAAGGGCGCGCTGTCTCAGCAATGGGTGCCTCTGCCACAAGCTGCTTAGAATTTTGTGTTTACGTATCTAGCTGGGAAAGAAACATTGATTTCACTGAGATAAATGTCCTACAATCTGCGTTTATTCAGTTTTCTATGGAATAATATGAATAATATTTCTGGAACGTACGTGATTTTCAGCGCCTAGCCATAGAACACAGCACCTTGCCAGTTAATCATTTATTGTATAATCTAGTGCCTTGGCAACCTTGAAAGGACTGTACTTTTCTGACGCAAATCATGATTACTAGTAGTTTATCTAATTAAAGGGCGGTAGTCGTCGCGCCACGCATGCGCAAGACATATGACTGTTGCGCAGATCAACGAGTACAAACTGAGGCGTCACCAAGCTTTAATTAGGTCACCGTATGTTTTGGTGATTAGAAGGTACCAAAGAGTCACTGGCGGTATTTAGTGCAAGTCGCGCCCAGGTCAAACCTCATACATGTGATTTCAATATACACACAACTTTCGAGAGTAAAAGGAAACCCCTGTTTATGTATAAATATATATCTA